CTCCAAGGTCAAAAATTGCAGCTGTGGGTGATTTATTTTTTGCGCCAACTTTATTCAATAAATAATTAACTGTAATCCATGCATAAACACCTAATAATAAAACAAGTTATAATCTAATTATAAATATGTATATATGTGTATATGCATAAAGAAATCATAATACCTTCATCTTTGCCATCCATAATTACCACACCATCATTTTCAATTATTTGAAAAGGGTATTTGTTTTCTAAATGATTTCTAACAGCTTCTAATATACGCTCACTTTTTTTGGTACCTAATAATCGTAAACCAGCAGTAGCCTTGACTGCCACTGGTGTACAATTATGCAATTCTTTGGGAACATTTTCAAGTGCAACTTTTAACAATTCATCTAAACTTCTCGCTGCTGCATCAGAATCATCAGCATATGCAGAAAGACCAGGTTCAATGTGAGCAAATACTTCATCCTCTAATTCTGGTGATGATTTACAATAATTAAATCTGTAAACATGAATACGAGAACCTGTAGAACCCGCATCAATCATTAATGCATACTGAATGAGTGAATGTCCAGGATGTGCTACAGTGCAATGTGAAGAATGTAATTGATGCGAAGAAGTTGCAGGCTTTTTTTGCTTTGATGGTAATTTCCCAGAAGCTTTAGTTGACTGAGTATTTTCAGATTTCTCATTAGCTTCTTATCATCCATTGGAGTTATGTGAAAAAAAATTAGATAAAATTTAATTATTTCCAGATTTATAAAACTAGCTTTCATTTTATATTTTATATTTACCTTCAAAACCTGGTACTAAACTTTTTTTTTGTTCATTTGGAACAAAAGTCCAAATTAAGAACGATGCAAAAATGAAAAATGCTATAATTTTGAGGATAGAAAAACTTTTAATAAAGATTACTGCCATCACTTTAGAATAATAATAAATTTTGTGTTGTTGAGACTATCACTATTATTACTATATACATATATTGCTACTATTACTATTCTCAAAATGACAAGACTATCATCTGAAAATCATAACATAAAATACACTAACTACATGGCCACACAAACCCAAACGCGCAAAACTTCACATCACACGTTCAATAACAGCTTCTATTCTTCTTGACATACTATATCAATTTCATTAGGACGTTTATTTTACTTGTGGTATTCTATGGTTGTTGATCAAAACATACGTTACATCAATATATGATAAAGATACTAAAAAATCCGCACATAATAATATATCCAACACAAATTTCTATTAATTTATCAGTTGTGATGGAAATTTAATAATAAATTGAATAACTTTAAACCATGATAACTTTTTATAGTTTTATTGTTCAAGTCTTCTATAATAAAGTTGCAGAGAGCCATTTGCCCATCTCATTTAGTTATAAAGCCTATCTATTAGAAAATTTCTTTTTCAATATCTTTACTATATATAAAAAATTTCTTTTTATTTGGTAAGAAAAAACTTTCTGTAATCTAAAAGCTTGATCTATTTACTTTAAATTTTGATTGAATTAGGGCAAACATTATTACTATCATTTTTAGCTTAGGTTTCATGTCTAAAAAAAAAATAAATTCCAATAACAACTTCTATCAATTTCATTAGGATATCATTTGTAATTTTACCCCATCCTTCTTGTAATACAGACTCCAACTTCTCATATTCTTTGGGCACCTTCTAATTCTAACCTTGACCATAAATGTTCAGGTTAGGCAATATGTTTGAACTTGGAACATTATTTTATAAAGACAGCCAATCCATAGTGGTTGTATCTGTTGATTATCTGGGTGTTTGAGCAATTAGTCAATCAATAAAACTCAACATCTGGATAATTGGTCATTCACCAAATATCCACCGAATACCCACTGAATATCCGCTGAATATCTGCTGAATATCCATTAAATATTAAATTTTTATTCATCAAGATCAAGAAAAATATTTTCAACACACACATTGCATAATTTTTTTTTTAAGAAATACAATTCTTTCAAATAATAATGGGTTCAATTTTGTTCGTTTGGCTGTCATTAAAGAATGTAATAATGATAAAATATTATTTACATTAATTACGTGGATAAAATTTTTTATTTTTTATATTCTGTACCACTGAAAATTTTCAACACCTGATTAATTAATCAATGAAAAATTTTCAATACCTAATTAACCGAATAATTGGTGAATAATTGGTGAATATCATTTGGCGGATACAATCCAAGGATCTACAACAAGGGTTAGCCTTATGATCCTAAGGTTAAACCTCTTACCAGTAAAACATAATGATATTTGATATTAATATGAAATTTAATTATTAATTTTGATGATCAACTGTTGCAACCAACCCCAATACCTTATGTCATTAGTTATTTAGTTAGTGCAAGAAAGAAATTAGTTGGCATTGGTACTACTGGACCTGGACACTTTACCAACACCCACTTTACCAACAGGACACTTTACCAACACCCACTTTACCGACAAGACACTTTACCGACAAGACACTTTACCGACAGGACATTTTACCGACAGGACATTTTACTGACAGGACACTTTACCAACAGGACATTTTACTGACAGGACACTTTACCAACAGGACACTTTACCAACAGGACACTTTACCAACAAGTATTGTGTTAACAGTTTGCCAAGG